AAAATTATTTAATTACCTGAATTGAAGATTACTTGTTGAACCTCGGACAGTGGTACAACATTAATTCTTTAACTTCAGGTTCTAGTAAATGAGCATTTAGTGAATTTTTTGCCTCACATTTAAAATAATTTTTATACATTTGGATACTCTTGCACTAAATTGACATTTAAAAAGATTCTGTTCATGACAGATAGAGTGATTTATATTAACTATGAAAGCTTGAGAAAAACACATATTTCATGGCTTTGGAAAACTATTAAGGCAGTGAAGAAGTGGGGTTTAGATCTAGGGGAATATCCAATAGAAGCAATGGAAGCCAAAAGAAAGAAAACAACTGCCAACCTAGAATTCTCTACTCACTAAGTATATCTTGTAAAAGTAAGGTAAAATAAAAATATTTTCAGGAAACAAAAATTAAGGGAATTTGTCACCAGCAGACCCCCACTAAAGGAAAAACTAAAAGGAGTTCTTCAGGCAGAAGGAAAATGATTCCAGATGGAACCTCAGAGATAACAGGAAGTAATGAAGAACAATGGAAAGGTAAATATGTAGGCAATCTAAATAAATAATGTTTTTTGGGATTAATAGCAATGCCATTATAGGTTGGGAGGGTAGTAAATGGAGTTAATTTCTAAGGATCTTACATTGTTCATTAAGATAAAAGTTAACTTTAGACTTTGTTAGTTTAGAGTTGGTTATTGTAATTTTGTTACTTCTATAATAATTTTCTAGAAATATATAATATATCTTTATATATTATATATTGTGTAGGGAAAAACAATTGAAAACAGGTTTAAAAGGACAAAAGATTAAATCCATGTATATCCAAGCATTAAGTAATAATAGACTTAATGCTTGAATTAAAACAATATTCAGTGCTGAGGGCAGAGAGGGGCTGGTAACTCAATGGCAGAGTACGTGCCTAACGTGCTTCAATCTGTAGCACCAGAAAAAAAAAAGTTAAAATATTAGCCAGTATTTTATCAGAACTTCTATACCCAGAAATAAAGAAAGATAAAAGATTAACATGACAAAAATAAAAGTCAGATAAGCAAAAAGGCTGTTTTATATATATATATATATATATATATATATATATATATACTTATATATGATTATGGACATAGAAAACCCAAAAGATATGTAGATAAACTATTAAAATTAATAAAGGCATTGAAAAGGCTTTTGAAGCTGGGTGTGGTGATGTGTGCTGGTAGTACTACTTACTTTTGAGACTGAAACAGAAGGATTCCTGGTTCCATGAGAAATGGAATTTTGAGACGGCCTGGGCAACATGTGGGGCACTGTGGCTTATAAAGAGAAACATCCAACAAACCATATGCACACATGACTAACAGAACTGTTGAACCAACAGAAAAAGCAATTGGATTTTTATATGTAAACGCCATGTAAAGAATAAGATTTAAAGGATATATCTTTTACAGTTACATCACAGAATATCAAATCCTAAGGAATAGCTATAACAGAATATGCCTACAATTTTTATTAAAAATCATAAGCATTGGGTTGGGGAATTTAGCTCTGTAGCAGAATTCTTGCCTTAGCATCGTCCAGATCCTGGGTTGATCACCAGCACCGAGGAAGTGGGAGGCCTGTAAATATTGAAAGAAGTTCTCATGTTCTTCCATTGGAAGAAGGAGAATTGTAAATATCTCCATAGATTGTTATTTCTATCCACTGAAATTCAGAAAACCTCAGAAAAGTTTTTTTTTTTAATGAAAAAGTCTAAAAATAAACAATGGGCTCATGCCAGTGGCTCATACCTGTACTCCTAGCTACTCAGGAGGCTGAAATCTGAGGATCACCATTTGAAGCCAGCCTGGGCAGGAAAGTCAAGAGACTCATATCTCCAGTTAATTAAAGAAAAAGAAGTGGTGCTGTGGCTCAAGTGGTAGAGAGCCTTGAGCAAAAGGAGCTCAGAGACAGTGCCCAGACCTAGAGTTCAAGCCCCAGGAACAGCGAAAAATAAAACAACGAAAATCCTAAAAAGATAAGAGGAACCAAGATAATCTTCAAAATCATTGTGAGAGGGTATATGATGCCAAGTATCAAACTTCCTAACCTTTGGTCACTGAGGCAAAGTAGTCTCTGGGCAAACTTAGGAGAACCATGGAAACAGAAGACAGACATGGTGCTTAGATTTAAAGGTGAAACTGCAAAGCATTGAAGTCAATTCTTCCTTCAGTGAGTGATACTTGATCTATTGGATCTTGATTTGTGGAAAAATGAAACTTTTATTGCTGAATCACTCTATGATTCAGCAATAATATCATCCAATATCACCCAAGTGATATAATAAAGAAACATGACTTACATGAGGAAGACCACTATCTGGCTTCAAAAAGTACTGAAAGAGGGGTTGGGGATTTAGCTCAGTGGAAGATGACTGGTCTAGCAACTACAAGGCCCTGAGTTCAGTCTTAGAACTGCCAAAAAAAAAAGAAGTATAGAAAAGAAAAATAAATACTAGGTTGCATCAGAGTTAAGAAAAAGTAGAAAATAAAGTAAAAGGACAAGCTGAAGAGAGGAAGATGTGGCTTGAAATGTATAGAACTGAACATAAAGTTTATGTCCAAAATAAATAAGGAATTTCTATAAGCTGATAGACAAGAAGACCTATTTGAAAAACAGGAAGGGGCACCAGGGTTTGATAATGGATGCCTATAATCATAAAAGTATATCAAGTTCGAGGACAACCTGGACAACTGCAAGACCTTGTCTAAAATGATCAGCAGCAGCAACAAAACACAAAAACCAGGAAGAGATTTGAAAGACCCATCCCATCCTAAAAAAGCCTTTCCCATTAGCTAATAATTATGAAAAAGCTATCACAAAAATTGCAGTTTAAGGAACATGGATACACGATTGAATATCCATAATAGCTAAAATAAAAGACTGACAATACTAAGTGTTGCTCTACTTCCAAAGGACAATACTATGATATGAACTATAATAGAGGTGAAATTGATGCAACCATTTGGAAGACTGGTCTCTAATGCGTACTAAAGCTGTACATATACAGAAGTTTCACTCCTAGTAATATACCCAAAAATATGTATGTATTGGCACCAGAAGACATATACTAAAAAGGTTCATTGAGCATTATTGTAATGACCAAATACTGGAAGCAACACCAAATCCATCAAGAAGACAATGAGCTAATATGGAATGAGCTAATATGGAAAAATATCACTAATAAAATGTTGAATGAGAAGGTGTATACAAAAGAATATGTGTTGTAAGACTCCATTTATATGACTCTGAGAACCTTTCAAACCTACAATATTAAACATTAGGATAATACTTTGGTGAAGAGGGAAAGAATATTAGATTGGCATGGGGCATTGGATTTCTTGGTTCTTATTAATTTTCATGGACAGATGGTTATGGATGTGTTTATTTGGTGATAATTGGAGCTATATGCATATGATTCGTGCTTTTATTTGTATTATATGTCAATTCAAAATTTTAGCTGGGGCATGGCTCAGTGGGAGAGCACCAGCCTATCAAATGTGAGACCCTGAGTTCAAACCCCATTACTGCCAAAAAATTAAATTCTAAAGGAACTGATCCATCTGGGATACATAGCCTGGTGGTTACCACAATTTATGTAATTTCAGTTTTCCATTCACATTGTTGGTTTTTCTTTTGGCCTTGGTAGAGAGAGGACAAGGTTGGATTTTCATTGACTTTATTTCCTTGTGTGCACTCATCACTTCAACTACTGGTAGTCTAGCTCTGGTGATGGAACTGAGCAGTGGGGAGTTCTGTAGCAAGAAGATTTTTGAGAATATCAAATTTAGATTGTTAGTGAGACCAAGATAGCATTATAGAGAAACTCTTTGAAGTAAACATCGATGGAATATTTCCAAGAGTAGTAATAGTGCTGAGGAGTTGATTTTTCTTTTATCACCTTTACTGTAATATATGTAAAATTAGTGCTAATGCAATATAAAGAAAAGAGCGTAAAGCTTTAGGATGAAACTCAGATTCATATCCTGGCTTCTTTGCTGCCTTCTAGATGTATAACTTTGGGGAATTGACTCTCTTAATTTTTTTGTGCCCCAATTGCTTCCTGTTGAAAAGGGCTCTATTTTTGACTAGATCACTATGAAGATGAACTGCCTGCCCTGTGTTTGTTTGGTACATTGTATGTCTCAGTCTTCTAGGCTTCTTTCCCATCCCGCTTGCTAGATACTAAATGATTGGTAAAGGCAGATTTTTTTTCCCTTGATACTAAATGATTAGTAAAGGCAGATTTTTTTTCCTAACTGTGGCAAGACTGAAGTATTTTCTGTATGTATTCTAATAGTCTGCTTAAAGAATTCTTTGAAGGAAAATAGCTTATTGTGAGTTAATTTTTGTTTTTTAGTATAAGGATCCAACCCTGTTCTCTCTTTTCACAGATTTTTAGTATAAAAAATTGCTCATTGAAAAATACAAGATTTTATAAGAAAAAGTATCCATAACCATATCACACATGTAGATGCTTTTAGGATTTTGGTGTATTTTCTTCTTTTACTTGTATTTACAATTTAAACTGTAGTTTGAGGTAAAGCCATACATGTGTATTTTGTTATTTTTCTTTTGCATCCCTCATTTTTTTAATATGTAATATTTCTTCGTAGTTATTAAGTTTTCTTTGTATATCTTAGATAGTATATATAATATGAAACATCTTAGGGCATAGTATAATCCAAGGATTTTATTGTTGGATAGGGAGTTTCAAATTTTTTGTGTAAGCAATCTCTTTAGCAACTCATCTATATTTTAAGTAATTTTCTTATATTTAGAAAAATTACTGTATTATAAAGAAGATACTTTTAATTTTTTAATGTATATGTTTTTAGAACTGCTGTTTGGGAAGGATATCACTTTATACTTCTACCACATGTATATAAATTAATCCATTTTGTAAAATTCTCACTAGTAGTGACTATTACTGATTTTAAAATATTCACTTTCCTTTTTCTTTATAGCATTTGTTCAGTGCTCAGCACCGAAGCTCGACCAGACAGAGTAGAAATCGTATATGTTCCAGTGGTTTGATGGAACGTTTCTTGCAGGATGTATTGCGACACCACCCGTACAATTACCAAGACACCAGGTAAGATAGCCAAGCGGAATTATACTACATGCCTCTTGATTATCATTGGACTTGTATTAATGTTTGAAGACTTTCTAAGTGTGTTAAAAAATGCAAAGGTAGGGGTTGGAGATGGGATCAGTTGGTAGAGTGCTAGCCAATGAGCAAAAGTGTCAGATACCAAGTTCAAGTTCTAGTCTAGGATCTAAAAATAGGAAGGAAAGAAAGGAAGAAAAGAAAGAAGAAAGCGGAAAAAAAAGGAAATATAAAGTTGAGTGCGGGAGGGGGGGGCGGGATTGGGGGGTGTGCCAGTGGCTTATATGCCTGTAATCCTAGCTACTTAGGAGGCTGAGATCTGAGGATTGTAGTTTGAAGCCAGCTGGAGCAGGAAAAGTCTGTGAGACTTTGTATCTAATTAACCACCAAAAAAAGCCAGAAGTGGAGCTGTGGCTCAAGTGGTAGAGTGCTAGCCTTGAGCAAAACAGCTTAAGGACAGTGCCCAGGACCTTGAGTTCTAGCCTTAGGACTGCCCCCCCCCCCCACATGAAAATTTATTTTATCCCTAAGCAAGTGCTCTTATCACTGAGCTGCACTTCCAGCCCTAAAGTGAACTATTAAAACCTACTAATTTCTATTTGAAATTTTAATTTTTCTAGCTTAAAGAAGACATTTCATTACAGGATAAGAATATACTTCAATGGTAGAATGCTAATCTAATATGTGCAACTGTCTGGTTTCTATCTCCAAAATCATAAGAAAGAAGTTTCACTAGAAAATATGTAGGCTATATGCTTGCTATTCCTAAATAAAAGTCTTAGGCCACAGGTGCCAGTGATTCCTGCCTATAATCCAAGCTGCTAAGGAGGCTGATGTATGAGGATCACACTTCAAAGCCAGCCCCAGGCTAGGAAAGTCCTATGAGGCTGTTATCTGCAGTTGACTGTCAAAAATGCTGGAAGTGGAGCTGTGGCTCAAGTGATAGAATACTGCTTGTGCAGAAAAGCTCAGGAAAATCTCCCAGGCTCTGAGTTCACATCCTCAGACCAGCATACACCCACAGATAAAAAGTCTTAGACCATTAACTAGTCATATATATTTAGGAAGTTTTATTTTATTTTTTTATTAAATTTTTTTTGGGTCCAGTCCTGGGGCCTGAACTCTGGGCCTGGGCGCTGTCCCTCAGCTCTTCAGCTCAAGGCTAATGCTCTACCACTTGAGCCACAGCACCACTTCCGGCATTTTTCTTTTTGCTTATGTGGTGCTTAGGAATCGAACCCAGGGCCTCATGCATGCAAGGCAAGCGCTCTACCACTGAGCCACCTTCCCAGCCCAGGAAGTTTTATTCTAAGTATGTCATAGAATTAAGTGGGGGTAAGGAGTAGAATGGTGGGAGCAAAACTATATCTAGAAGATAAATAACATAAAATCTGGGTGATTGTAGCAGAGTAAGAACAGTCAATAGTAAAAAGGTAAATCAGTTCCTATGAATTTAATTGCTTACTTATGAATCCTGAGTAGAAAAGGTACCAAGCAAAAACAAATGTCTATAATCTGAATGTCTAGATAGATTTTTTTAAAGAATCCAGTTTGTTTGTTTTTTATGAGTCTAGTTTGGTTCCATGTAAGGGTTAGTATCTTTTGTTAAAGAAGAACACTGCTAGAAAATCAGATTTCATATTATGAGTTTGTAGCCTCAGCCAGTGTAAGATAAAGCAAAATAGTACTGTTTTCCTGTTTCTTTTGTCAAGAACTTGTATCATTGAAGACGAGATTTTTAAAATTTTGGGTTTTAATCAGTTTCTACTTACTTGATTACGCAAATTTTTGTAAATTTGTAAATCCTTGATAGAGACCTCTTAGTAGGTTTTACCAATTTCTGACAACACCAGAAGTGTTTGAGGATTATCATTTCATGTCATTCTTGCCAGAACTAGGATTCTCAGCCTACTTTTCTCCTCTTCCAGCATGATAGGCTCAAAAGCCAACATCTCTTTTCATTAGCCTTTCTTTGGGAAAGAAGAGATTCTTCTGGAAATTTATAGGTCATATTTTATCCTATGCATTATGTGTTCGTATACTTTTCTATTAATGTACTTGTATATTGTAGATCTGCTAGAGGCATGACTTAAGCAACAGAGTGATAAGAGTGCCTATTACTGCAAAAAAAAAAAAGTCTTTGTATTTTCTTACAGTGTGTTATCTATCTTGTGGGCCTGTCCTGGAGTTTGAACTCAGGACCTGGCTCTGTCCTTGCTCAAGACTGACATATCACTTGAGCTAGAGCTTCATTTCTAGATTTTTGGTGGTCATTTGGAGATAAGAGTCTCAGATTTTCCTGTCTAGGCTGCCTTCGAATAGAAGTTCAAGATTTCAGCCTACTTAGTGGCTAGAATCAAAGGTGTGAGCCCCTAGTCCTGGCTATGGAATAGTTTTGATTATCATTTTCTTTGTGACTAGAGATGTTGAACATTTCTGCATGTATCATCCATTTGTATTTTTCTGAGAATTACTAGGTTCACTTCCTCAATTAATTGAATTTGTTCTTTTTTTTAAGCTATTTATATATTCTTTTAATCTCCATTCTTCTATTTATAATCTTTCACATGTTGAATAGCTGGTGAAGATTTTCTTTAGGTTATTCCTTGGTTTTGGTGATTGTTTCTTTTGTTGTGTAGAAATTCTTAATTTTACATAGTCAATTCTTAACTCCCATTGAATGGGCTTCTGGAAATATATTCAGAAAAAATATATCTGCGTCTATAATTTCCAGAGTGGTTTTTGTTTTTGTTTTGTTTTGTTTTTTTTGGTTGTGGGTCCTGAACTCTGGGCCTGGGCACTGCCCCTCAGCTCTTCAGCTCAAGACTAGTGCTCTACCACTTGAGCCATAGCACCATTTCCGGATTTTTCTGCTTATGTGGTGCTGAGTAATCAAACCCAGGGCCTCATGCATGCAAGGTAAGCACTCTACCACTGAGCCACCTTCCCAGCCCCGTGTTTTTCTTATACTGTGTTTTCTTGTAGTAGATCTAGAGTTTCTGGTCTCACTTTGAGCTTTTTTTTGGTAAGTAGTAGGGCTTGAACTCTTGAACTCTGGGCTTGGGCGCTGTCCCGGAGCTCTTCAACTCAAGGCAAGTGCTCTACCACTTGAGCCACAGCACTACTTCTGGTTTTCTGGTGGTTTATGGGGGTTAGAGTCTTATGGACTTTCCTGCCCAGCTGGCTTTGAACTTGAACCATGATCCTCATATCTCAGCCTCCTGAGTAGCTAGGCTTACAGGCATGAGCCACCAGTGCCCAGCTTACTTTGAGCTTTTTAAAAAATCAAGTGGACTTGTTGATTTTTGCACAGTCTGAGAGAATTTTCAGTCTCTACAGGTCTGTACTCAATTGGGGTTTTTTTTGTACCATTTTCTTTTTTGGGAGAGGGTCCGGTTGTGGGGTCTGAACTCTGGGCCTGGGTGCTGTCCCTCAGCTCTTCAGCTCAAGGCTAGCGTTCTACCACTTCTGGCTTTTTTATTTTCTGCTTATGTGGTGCTGAGGAATGGAACCCAGGGCCTCATGCATGCGAGGCAAGTGCTCTACCACTGAGCCACCTTCCCAGCCCTTTTGTGCCATTTTCCATTATATATTTTGACTCCTTTGTAAAAAATTAGTTGGCTATAGCCATATAGTTACATTTCTAATTCTTCTGTTCTGCTTCCTTGGTCTTCAGGTCTATTTTTGTGCCAGTACCAAGCTGTTTGTATTACTATGACTCTGTAGTATAAAAATTGAAGTTTGGGATAGTGATACCTCCAGTTGTACTCTTTATTTAGATTGCTTTTGCTATTCAGGATGTTTTATGCTTCCATATGAAATAAGGATTGATTTATTTCTATGAAGTGAAACATGAAATTTTAATGGGGGATTGAATTGAATTTGTAGATTGGTTTTTGGTAGTATGACCATTTTCACAATACTAACTCTGCTGATCTGTGAACATAGGCAGCCATTCCATCTTCTGGCATCTTCTTAGATTTCTTTTCTTTCTTAAAAAATTGTGTTGGGTGCTGGTGGGTCATGCCTGTAAGCCTAGCTACTCAGGAGGCTGAGATCTGAGTTTCACAGTTAAAAATCAGCCCAGGGAAGGAACGTCTCTGAGACTCTTATCTCCAATAAACCACCAGAAAACTGGAAGTGGCACTGTGGCGTAAGTGGGAGAGTGCTAACCTTGAGCTGAAGAGCTGAGGGGCAGCGCCCAGGCTGAGTTCAAGCCCCACGACCAATAAAGAGATTCTGTACCTTAGCTTTTCCCCCCTCAAGGCTGGTGTTCTACCACTTGAACACTGTCAGCTGATTGGATTTTGTTGCCCAGGCTGGCTTCAAACTTGGTCCTCAGATCACAGCCTCCTGAGTAGCTAGGATTACAAGCATGAACCACTGGCACCTGGCTTTTCAATTTTTCTTTAAGGTTTTATAGTGTCCATTGTAGAGGTCTTTTACTTTTTTAATACATTTTTTAAAAATACTTTTAAATACCTTTTACTTTTAATACTTAGATACTTTATTGGTTTTGAGATTATTGTAAGTAGAATTGTTTTCCTGATTTCTTCTTTGCCTGTACTCTGTTGGCTTGTAGAAAAACTGAGTTTTGATTGTTGATTTTGTATTCTGCTATTTTTCCAATGGAATTTATCAGTTCTTGAAGTTTTTTGACAGAGTCTGTAGGGTCTGCTAAGTACAGGATTATATCATTACCAAGTAGGGATAATTCGATTTCTCTTTCTCTATTTGAATCCCTTTTATTTTATTTTTCCTGCCTTTTTGTTCTGGCAGGGAATTCCAAGTACTATATTGAATAAGAATGGGGAGAGTAGCCTTATCTTGTTCCTGATTAGTTTAGCTTCAGTGCATTGACTGTGTCTAAAAATTTTCCATTTCTAGATTTATCTAGCTGTTTTGGATATAGGCTTTCAAAGTATTCCTTCATGATTTCTTTGATATTTGTTGTGATACACCCTTTTCTATCTCTAAATTTTACT